AGGGGGTGTCCCAAATTCAGCCGGCATCCTTCGCTTTGTGGCGAGACCCTTCTCGGGTCGTTTCCAATTGTATGGGCCATGGGTATGCGCCCTCGCGGTTTTAAAGAGTATCTTGAAGTTTGAAGAGGGGATGGGCATACACACACCAACCACATATAGATATACAAAAACAAGTATTGACAGAGAGTAGAGGCCTAGATGGGCCCAGAAAACGACACGACCGGTGCCACAAACACCGCGAACAGCCAGCGAAAACCACCGGCCCCAGACGTGCATCGTGCTCCTATGTCAGTCTTCCCCAAGAGGTGTGCCATTTCCAATCCAGTCTACGGGTGGTGTGCTTCCCCGAAAGGGGCATGAAAGAAATGGCAAAGTCTTCCTGAAGGATTGCACTTGAAGGAGAATGCACAGAGTGACTTGGCGCCCCTTGAGCAAAATTTTGCCAGAAGGAGAGAGCTGCTCGGAAGAGCGAACACAATGCATGGCATGCTCGCACGGCCCAGTTTGCGCTTCTAACACTTTTTTTCCGTGGGATGCAGCTATCCCATAGTAGGTAACCAGAGGAAAGCATGCAGCGGTTTTTCCCAACAGCTACAGCTATGGGTTCTTAGCCAATCCAGGACGGTTGATGTCAGGTTGCGGGGTGAAGTTGGGCCTGAACATGGCACAAGCTGCTTTCCCAAAGTCAGGTTTGTCCAGAAATGACCTGTTGGGCTGATTGTGAACAACTACGTCCCTGCAAATCAGCAATATGAAACACAAAATTTGGGGGCATCCCCAAAAGCAGACTCCTTTTCAACCTTGGTGGGCATAGGCATAGGTGTCCTTTTTGGTTGGTTTGCTTTAAACAAAAGAAGGAGGGCCCTGGTTTAGTTGGGGTTGATTCAACATTTACCAGCGAAACCCATCATTTTTTAACCAAAAGGCCACCTATGCGACTTGGGGGTTTTCAAATGGAACACTTCCTAGGTCCCCCAGCTAGGTGCCCTTTCTCACCCCTTTTTTGGTTCCCCCTACTAAAATAGGCTACATGGTTTTTTTTGTTGAGTTCCGTCGATCAATCTGCGGAAAAACCGCCGAGCCGGGCGCGTGCTGAGGACAAGCGCACGGAGCTGAGGAGATCTGATTGGACAGGCGCTACGGATAGGAGATTGGCTGAAATGAACATGTTGTTTTTGTTGTTTATGTTCCTGAGTTGTTCACTTGTTGGTTTTGAAGGGAATCGATTTCACCGGACATATGCTCCATGTTTTCCAGGGGGCGACAAAGCTTGAATGAGATCCATGGAGCTTGTGCGCGGGGGGGGGGGGGGTTGTACTGTTGTTAGTATACATGTTTGAATCTTTGACTGTCTTTCAAGAGTTGGTCGTGTGGTGCACACTCCGGGTTTGTTTTGCAACCTCCTTCAGGATAGCGGGTTCTTGTATGGGTTGCCTGCTAGTAGCCAAGTATTCATGTGGTTCCTTGAAGGGCTTGTTTGAAGAAAGAACATCGGGTGGGAAGGGATTCTGTGCTTTGTGTGGTACCTTTTGCATCCTCTTTCAATGCAAGTGATAGCGCCATCCCAAGCTGGATTACAGCAAAACTCGCGGCTCGCAACCACCTGCCAGATTGTGTTTTGCCATGTTTGATTGCATATAGGGTTTTCACTGACTATTTCAATATCACACCTTTCAATCGTCATTCAAGGGTCAGTATTTTGAATTGGGGGGTCTCTATGTCAGAAACCGAGGTTGTTTGCCTTGGCCCATTCTTTTTTTCTCCTTTTTTTCCGGTTTTAATCGCAAAACGTCATTCCTCTTGCTTTGCCCTCTCTCAGGCCATTCAAAAACGGAGCTCGAGCGAATGTTGCCATTCGTGCAGAGCCTTGGTGCTGAAAAGGTCCAGCATTGACATGTGCCAGAGGATCCACTTGCCACAGGAAGCGTTTTGGTTTTTTTACCTCAAGATTTGGCATTTGCCGCAGGGTTCCCCAAGCAACCCTGTGGGACCTCAGGGACCGTTCCCGGATGGTGGTGGACATCAGGGATATCTGCCAAAGCGTGCCCCAATAAAGTTTGAATTTCCTCTTGAAGGGACCTTCTGTGAGGTGCCATGTTGGTGGAAGGGCGGGTATATTTATCATATATGTATATATACAGTTTATTTGCATAATGTATGGCGAGCTCATCTAGGGGTAACACGAGCTCACCATGGTAAAGATCCTTCACTTCGGGATCCCTTACTTCAGGTTTTAGACATATTGTGACATGTACAATTTGCACTTGTTTGTTTGTTTGTTTGTTTGGTTGGTTGGTTGGTTGGTTGCTTGGCTGGTCGATTTGTTTGTTTGTTTGTTTGGTGTGATGTGCGTGTGTATGCTTTTAAAGGGGACCCCTTCAATTTTACAGGCCCCGTTTTGGGAATCAGGTGAGCTGTCGGTGGAGCAGATTGCCTACGCCGCCGGCGATGCCTTCGTGGCGGTGGAGATCCTGGAGGCCATCAGATGGCGCTGTTTGGATTGGGGCGTGTGTGTGTGTGTGCTTTTTTGTTTTCCATGGACACTTAGTCACCCCAGGCCATCAGTTATTTAGTCACGGATACTTAGATGTCGGCCCCAGATGAGTCAACCCCTGCTTAATGTTGTTGGGGCTTTGAGCCCCTCCAAAAGTGGTTTGAATCACTAAAACCACGGACACCCCTTTCATTCACAAACAGGGGTCTATTAATCTGGGGTCAACGTTAATCCATTTGCTTAGGACGATTGTTTATTTTCCCCTGTTTGGTATTCAAGGAAATCTATCACTACGGAAGATATGTTGATTTTTTGCCAGAGGACTTAAGAAAACGAAGGTTGCTGGTTGGTTTGAAGGGCGGTGTGCTCTTTTCTGGAGGACTACAAATGGGCTTGCTTGTTTTTTGATGGTAGCGTTTTGGTATACTTGGTTTGAAAGGGAAACCAAGAGGAACAAACAGACAAAAGAGGTTTCATGTTGGAGGACTACAAATAGGGGTGGAGCTTGTTTTGGAGGGTAGCCCGTTTCGGTTGGTTCTAAAGGGAAGCCAAGAGGAAGTTTATGTGGCCACGGTGTCTCAAAAGCCCATTTGAAGTGGGGCTGTTCTCTTTTTCTTACCTGAGTTGAACGCATCACGTTTATGAACCTTCGAATGGGGTGACAGTACTGTTGAATGGTTGCTTGATAAGAGCCACTTCTGTTCGGCCCATGGCTAGGCAAGTTTGCCTCCTGGATGAAGGTTCTTTCTTGGGGGCCCGTGACTCACCTGAAAACCACTAGACTTGGAGGCTCCCAGCCATCCGGTTCCTTAGCCTTTTGGTGTTTAGTGGTAGTTTCCATTCAACCCACTAAAAGTTAAGCTTTCAGCGGGGGATCTGAGGGGAGTTCAGTAGATAGGTGAGAAACTGACAAACTTACTCGTCTAGTCTATTGCTAGTGCGGGGAGGACATGAGGGGCACCCAAATTTCCAATAGCAACAAGTAAATGAACCCGGGCGCGTGCAAAAACAATCTCAAGCACATGTTTTGGTCAGCTTTCCTTGAAACAAAGCGGAGGGTGCCCCGTGTATCACCCAGCGTCCCTTTGGATCACACCTCCGAGTTTTTTGCTTCAGGAGCTGCAGTCGCGGTACGCACCTTGCGGAACGCTCCGCGAGTGGTGCGGCGACTTTGTGGACAAGCTGCCGAAAGGCGCTTGCACCAGTGCTCGCTTGCCCAAAGCGAATCGACCGTTTGACCTTTGGGTTTCCCCTTTTAGTCATGCCCAAACAAAAAAAAGCTTTTATTTATGGGTCCTTTGGGCCAGCGAGAATGACCCAATGGTTTACATCAACACCCAGTGCAAGTGGGTCCATGAATGAGATGAAGAGACCCGGGGTTGGGCTGTTCTTCCAAAGAGGGTTTGTAATGGGTCATAACCTACCAAGCCTCTTTTTGAGCACCCTTTAGCGTGCTCCAACTGGTTCTGCTTGGGGCCGTGATTTGCTTCAGCATTACTGCTGTTCCAGAAGGTAGCCAAAGAAATGCTCCCCATTCCAGTTGAGGCGAGCGTTCTGGATTTGTCACCCGAAGCCAAATAGATCACCGGCAAATGCTGGCGATTCGATTTCTTATGTCAAGCCTGAGGCTCACAACTGTTTGGACATGACAACGGAAGTATGAGAGTGTCAGTGCTAGGTCCAGCCAGGTGCCCTTCTCTCCCTTTTTTTGGGGGAGGGTTCCCCTACTGAAAAAAGACTACAGAACAAAGTTGGTACCCTTATTCTGACCTCTCGACTGCAGGATCTAGTCTGGTTGGACCGCTCTTTGGGCTGAGACAAAGCCGGAGTGGACCCTCGACTCTGGCTCGACTCTCGTTCCTTCTCGGGTTTGCCCGTCGCAGGCCGCAGCCTGGGCCAAGCCAAAACGAGGTCCAGGGAGAAGGCCAAAGTGGTGCACGCCCCGAAGCGCCAGACCGAGCTGCCACTTGGCGAAGGGAAAGCGAAGTCGGTTTTGCCGTTGGTCGGTTTAACCCGAGGCGAACTTTGATTTGGTAGATAGGCTTTATGAATTGTGCTTTTGGGCCGGGACGAAACTGTTTAAGCCTTTTCTGGTCAATTGATTCCTTCCCCTCCCTCCCAAACGTCATCAAGATCTCTTTAGCCTGCAGTGTTCAAGACCCACCATTTTTTTTCTCAGTTGGGATCGATCTGTGGCATAGTTAGTGATTTGGATTGGTGGTTTGGGGATTTGAAGCCCTGGCTTTTGTAGAGGGTAACCGGGAAACCATCCCAGAACCACCAAACCACCGATCCAAACCGCCAACAGAGGGAAGCTGAAAGGCTGAACCTGGAATGTGGCATGCCAAAGGCAAATTAGCTGAATATGGTGCGAAGAAAGCGTCACAGTCACCTAAAGACAGGAGAGATCCCAAGCAAGCGGAAGTTCACATGTGGCGGGGCAAGTGAGGTGGGCGCTTCTGCGATTTGCAGCCCTTTGAAGATAGGCCATGAAGCAAATGTCCATCTCAGATCCAGATGGCCATCGAATGTGGGTCCACCGTCCACCCCTGACTCATCCGGAGTGGTTCCAGAACCGAAGGGGGCCAGGTCCCAGAGCACGCGTCGTTGTTTTCGTTGCGGGCTGAGTTTTAGTCTAGTTTAGCCAAAAAGCAAAACCGGGCGTCGCACTTGCAAGTACGCCTGCAAGGTACGGTGTTTAACGTCTCTTTGAGGTTCGCCACACTTCAAAGCAAGCGACCTTTCTGCGCCCCGTTCTTTCTCCGAACAAAAATCGACGACGACTTCCGGGGGACCGACTGAGGTATGGGGGGTGCCGGCTGCTGTCGCCCGCTGGCCTTCACCTGGCGAACGTCTCCAGCGCCAAGGCGGCTCCGGCCTCGGCAGCCTTAGGTTTGAGGTGCCACTAGGGTTTTCAGGTAGGTGCCCTTTCTCACCACTTTTTTTGGTTGGAAGGGTTCCCCTACCAAAATAGACTACAGAAAAAAGGGTACCCTTATTCTAACCGCTCTACTGGAGGACCTAGGCCATGTGTCGGCCAAAACCTGCTTGGGTGCAACCCGCGAATCCTCCAGTTCATTTGTTTTCCAGGTTTCTTAGGTTTCTTGGTTGGTTGAGTGGTTGGGTGTCCAAATTTCGATGTAGATGTCTTAGGTTGGCGGTTGGGTGTCCAAAACCGATTTATAGATGAAGGGCAAACAAGGTTTTTTGAGATCCGCCTGTTCAATTCTGTACATGGCTTTAGGCCATTTTGACACCAGGGTTTGATTGTGAGTCAAATGGGTACTTGGTCAAAGTTACACCACCGAAATGGGACGCATAGGTTTTAGTCCTATCCATTTACCAGGGCAACCCATTTTGGGGGAACTCTGATTTTTGACCAGCCAATAAATGGCGGTTTTCCCTCAAAGTCCAGTTGAAGAGGGTTCCCTTCGGAACATTCTCCCCATAGTTCCAAGATCCATGATTTCTCGGAACAGCGACTTGGTATCCCCTTTACTGAAGTTATCTCACGGCTCATGGGATGACAATCCCACGGTTTTCGTTGCAGAAAGCCAGGGTAGAAGTGCGGCCTCATCCGTTGGTATCACATAATTGTCTTGCACCATGGAGTTGTTTCAGGTTGTTTGGATTCTCTTTCAGCTTGTGACCAACCCTTCACGTTTTGCCCATTCACAAGGCTGATGTCTTCAGCCCTCTCCATTCAGGAGTTTTTGCTTGTTGTCCACCACAGGCAGTCCACAATCCATTTTGCCCACCTACAACAGGACGCCTAAACGGGTAAAGCAAAAGGGTCTTTCCAGCAACCCAATTTCACCGAGTCTTTGGAGGGTTTTGATTTTCTTAAGTATGTGTTGGTCCTGATGGTGTCCCTTTCACCCACCATTTTGACCGGGGTTCTTCCATTTCCCGTTTTGGAACCTCCAAAAGTGGCGATCGTTTCAACGGAACCCGCGCGCAAATTGCTCAACTTGCAGCCGCTAACCAAGGGCAAATTATATATTCAGGGGCTTCCATATTTATAACCCCCAAGAATACCCCCCCCCCCCCGCAAAAATATGCTTATGTTTGACAACCCCAAAAAAATAAAGGACACGGCCCAACGCCTTCACTCCTTTTCATGCGCTCTTGAAAACCCCAGCCCCCCCCCCCCCCGAGTCCCGAAAAACCCGAGGCCTGGTACGTGAGCATGGGCCTGGGCCGGCGCCTGGACTCCGCGGAAGATCGGGTGGTGGTGCAGCTGAACTTCGAGCCCAAGGGGGTGGGCCACGCGGGGGACCAGTTCTACCTGCAGATCATGGAGAACCAGCCGCGAAGCGACACAAAAAAAAAAAAAAACAAGCCGTGCCGCTGGTTTTTGTTTGAAAGGAAAGCCACTTGGAAACAAGTAGAAGTTCGGAGCTGTTATGAAGGCAAGCAAAAAGATGGATAGGCCTTCTACTTTCCGACCCCAACTGGCCGCCCTCAGACGCCTGGGACGCTTGAGGTGTGTGGGCTGCGGCTCCAAAGATCACCTGGTCCGCTTCTCCATTGTGCCCCACGTCTTTCGCGCCCTGCTGCCCCGGAGGTTCAAGGACACCTGAGAGAAGTTCCCAAGCTTTTGACAAGCTCTCGTTGAAAGGCATTGTGACATTTTATGGTGATGAGTTGGGGCAGCATCTCCGGACTGCTACTTGCTTTGTAGAGTTCCTGAGACAGGATTCTTGCAACAATCTCCATGCGGCAGGAGCACTCCAGTCACGACATCGTGCTGCTGTGCCACAGTTCTTCGGATCGAGGTTTTGTTTGCGAAGAGTTTTGCCTGAAACAGTTTGTTGAATTGGGTGTGGCTCAAAATTAAGCAGGAGGGGTTTCGCAGGTTTTGGCCCATGTTTCCACTTACCAGAGTTCCATTTTGGTACCTTTTTTTTTAGCCACAGCCAATTGGGTGTGTCTGCTTTTTGCAAGACCAAAATCCCAGCATGACGGTGTTAAAATTCACCAAATGGGCGTTCCCAAAAAAATGAGAGACCCAATTGATCTCTAGTCTCGAGTCAGACCTCCAAAAAGATTACCGCGCGCCGCAAGGTGGTTCTCTGGTGTTGTAATATACTTGAGAATCCTTGCTTCTGAGTTGCAGTGGCTCAAGCAGTGTCAAAGCATGATGGTTTTGTCCAAAGAGCCCAGTTCAGATAAACCGTGTGAGTTTGTTGTTTTCGGCATGGCCAATCGGAGCCTGCCAAAAGGCTGAAAAAGGAAACAGATGGTATCGAGCCACTGCCCAGTCCCAGGTTGCTACGTGCCAGCCTCCGACGCCGCCCAGGCGCGGCAGCTACCCCGTCCTTGGTGAGGGCGCAGCACCGTTTTTTGGGGGAAGCAAGGGACTTTTGTCCGGGGCGCACATTGCCACTTCAAGCAAAATGCCATTCTCCTGGTACAAATGCTTCGGGAAATGCAACAGTTTTTCTTGGATACTGCTGACTTGCCAGCTGCTTTCTGGAACAAAGAGCGTGCTTTCATGCCGTGACCTTGCTCAAACAAGTACCACAGGATGGATAGCCTTTCAAATGGGAGATGATCCATTTGCAGTTATGTAATTCAACTTGCAATCATTGGTTCGTGGTATCATTGGTCAGGGGGTATTCTGGTTCATTGATCATGTGGGTTACATTGAAATTACATTAGCTCCCCATCCGCGCTGCATTTCGTTGGTCCATTCGGAAAGGCCGCGCCCACGAGTGCTGTTCGCACTCAGGGGAAGTAAATGATGATACTAGACTGCCAAGTGTGTGGGTGGATACATTGTACAACATATGAAACATAAGACTTATGCGCGGCTCTTCGAAGATGTTGAGATATCAAAAGGGAGGCAACTGATACATCACTGGAGTGAAAACAGCGAACCATCCATAGTACGCTGATTTAGTCAAGCAGGAAACGTATACCATGATGTTTTTGCACCTGATGTTCTAGAGGTGTGCTTTACACCATAGGAATCCTAATACAATGCCAATATTCCCATCATGTGTTGTGAGCAGAGGAATAGTATATGCTTGTAAATGGTTTTCACTAGTAGTACAACACAGCGCTTCAACATGATAATACCGTGCTACAAATTCTATGTCGGGGTGGTTCAATATCCTTCTCCTTGTCCATTATTTGGTATCACTCCTCCAATTCTCACGTAATGAGTTCTCCAAATGAAGAAGATGTCAAGAGTAGATAGGTAAACAATGTGTATTCTAAAAATCATGCAAGTCACGCTTGCCTTTGTGTAGCCATCTGGTGAGAGACCAGGACTCGGTCACAGGACTGGTAATTATATAGGCTTGCTCTGTTGAGGTTTCCCTGTCTTATGTTGGTCTAGTTAAAAGAAAGCCAACAGGAAAACCCAGCATGTTGTTTGTGTCATACTGTGGATGGGCAAAATTCTGCACCATCTAAGAAACCTCGAATGATTAGCTCGAATCCTCTTGTAAATACCAAGCAACGTTATGGTTTCAGCCATGGTTTCTTTCGTTGTGCAAAATGGATTTCGCAACCATCCACAGTATCGTTACAACAGGTACCACAAAAAAGAACATTATTATGTTCGGTTCGTTTAGGAAACCAAAGGTCAAAGGATTGGGTTACAAATAATTCCTCTGAAAAGCAGCTTACTTGGTGTGTTTTGGGGCCATTTCCTGTAGATGTTCCTGTAGCCAAGCCCTTTTGAAAACGGAACCAGCCGCAGTTCGTTACTTGGAATGTTCGCAGAGTTTTGGACAAGAGGAAAACACCAGCATGTCGGTTTTTCGTTCCCATTAGAGCCATGTCGTTGCCCATGAGGCACCACAAATGCCATGGGAGGGTCCCGGGTTCGCTTCCCAGACCTTGCGGCGGCGGCACCTGAGCTCCTGTAACCTCTCGGACCCCAGCACGCCGGGAGTGGCGGGGCGCTTCAGGAGAGCGGAGCCGAGCGAGCGAGCGGCAGCTGGGAGATGTCCGGGGAGACCATCCCTTGGCCGAAACGTTGGTGCAAATTGCCAAGGGATGTTAGGACTTTAATTTTTGGCCAACTAATGGGGTTTCCATTAAATTAATTACTAAAAGTTAAACTTTCAGCAGGGGAGCAGAAAGCAACCAAGCAAAGGGTTGTGGGTGAATAAATCTGGGATTTGTTGATCTAAAGGGATGTGGGTGGACACATATGTTTTCTTTCGGTCTAAAGGGTTGTGGGTGGATACATCTGGGAGTTTTTGATCTAGAGGCTTGTTGCTGGATAAATCTGGGATTTTGTGGTCCAAAGATTTGTGGGTGGATGAATTTGGATTTTTGTTGGTCTAAGGGCTTGTGGGTGGATACATCTTGGATTTTTTGGTCTAGAGGGCTGTGCGGGGATAAATCTGGGATTTTTTCGGTCCAAAGGAATTTGGGTGGATGGATAAATATGCTTTTTCTTCCGGTCTAAAGGATTGTGGGTGGATGGATAAGTCTGTTTTGTTTCTTGGGGGGGGGGGTTGACCAACATCCTTTGTGCTCTAACTGTAGGAATCGGAGGTAAAAACGAGTGGAAAGATCGTTATGAGGGTCCTTGATTGGCAGATGGATCTCTTTCGGTTTGGGAATTATAGTAATTTGATGTAATTTGCCCGGATCCTTTTGGGGTAGACAATTTGCTTGTACAACCCAAGTCACTTTGCAACTCAGGTCACTGACCTTGGCCTGCACCTAGTTTTGACACATTTCAGCATAAGAAATGACATCCCTAGTCATGCAAAATGAGGCTTAGGCTTAGGCGTCCGAACCCTTGTGGGCAGGGGTCTTGTGCTGGGAAAGTTGTAGGAGGACATCGGCAGATCGGGGTTTGTTTATTACTAGGACGGGAAATTCATTCTCTGAAACCGGCCCAAAACGTGCACCCAACGAAGTGGAAGGCAGGTGGAGTTGGTTTCTCCAGCATTCCTCTTGTTCCTATCGGAAAATATATCAGCCCGGACTTCCCCCCCCCCCTGCTCCAAAAAAAAATGAAGAGACAACGACAAGACAAAGCAACAAGCCCGGACCCTCCCCCCCCAAAACAAATAATAATAATAATAATGGCAAAGACGAAACAAACAGCCCCGCAGTTTTCCAGGATCGACCAGCAAAAGCTACGTGCCCGGGGTGCTGCGGCGGCTTTGCAGTGCCCATCTCTGCCGCCACCGGTGCGCGAGGCATTTGGGAGATTTGGGCTTGGGCTTGAGCTTCCCATTGAGCCAGGATGCTTAATCTTCCATTTCCTTAGTTTTTTGTTTATTCATTTCATCTCTTGGTTTTAAAGGGAATCGATCACTACTGGACATATAGTTATTTGCGGTTATTTGTTTCCAAGGGGCGAAAACGCAAAAGGCAGTAATTAGCAAACAAAGTGACAAGGGTTTATACCAGGGGCGCACCATGTGCATTGGTCTGAAGACCCCTTTGCTTGGGATGCGCATCAACCCAAGGGTTTTAGACAGACAAGATGGAACTTTTGCTCGGCAAGCACATGTCCAAGAGCCCTCAAACATACCCTGGTGCCCCATGAAATGGCCTTGAGTTAACATCTCCAGCCCGCTTCGCCTACATGGTGTTTGGGCTTCCTTCACTCTACATGTCAATGTGAGCGCTGATATGATGTGGGGTTTCATGTTTGTTCAGATCTTAAGGGTATTTTGAGCCCTCCAAACGAACTCCTGGGTTCTTTGAGTGGGCTGGTAGGGTCCCTGATTATCGGGGGGGTTCACATGTTCCCTGCGTGCTTCATACGGCTGTCAAGACCCGAACCTCAAATGAGTCACAATCAAAACCCGGATACGTGAAGGTTAGTAGTAAGGTAAAGACCCAGCCAGAATTAGTTGCGGCCGCCTCTTTAAATAGTTCTGGGTTAATCATGTTGTACCGGGTTTTGATTATGACTCAAATGCCTGATCGCGGACGTCCACACGTGTTTACCCATGGCAATCGTCCAAACTCTTGGAGGGGGATGCAGGGAGTTGCGCCAGGAGTTCATCTACGGCTTCGTGCAGAACCAACCTTTCTAAGAGCCCACCTGCATGGCCCAAATGGACATACCAATTTTCAACTTTAGTGGTTATTCATGGATTATACGGCGTGCATAGCCCAAAGCCCATCCCTATACAAGGCCAAGAAAGGTGTATGTCCATTGGAATTTGGGGCATGGATTTGTTGGCCGTTAAAACACCTTGCGGCTGCCATGAAACCGTTTTTTTGTTCAACATATTCCCTGAAACCGGGTCACAGGGATTATAGCGTACATACCCCAAAACCCATCCTTATGCAAGGCCAAGAAAGGTGTGGTATGTCCATTTTAGAATTTGGGGTCTGGATTCGTTGGCCCGAAAAAGAGAAACAACTTGTGGCTGGCCGGAAACCGGGTGCACTTCAACTTTGGCGCATTCTGCTTGGATGTTAGGACTTTAACTTTTGCCAAGTAATGGGTTTTCTGTTAAACCACTAACACTTAGACTTTTAGAAGGGGAGCAGAAAGCAACCGGGTTATGTTTTTCCCCACAACAGTTGTCAGGTTGGTGACAGGTGCCCCCAAACTTTTGGGGTGTTTGAGGAGACCGGAAAGTGAACCATCCATGTAAAGGGCTCACCATTTGGAGACAACACCTAGCTTACACCAGGGATGTTGACCCCGGAATCACTCAATCTGGCAGATCAACCCATCCCCTGCCACCGGGTCCACAAAAAAACACACATCGCCAGGCCAAAGAGGCGGTGATCCGCGAGTTCCTGCAGAAAGCCCCAGGAGCCATCCGAGCGATTTCTGGGCGTGCAGGGGCCGAGCTGCAAAAGCTCCATTGCACGTCTGGTTGCCGGTGTTTCTTGTGGGAACCAACTATGTTATATATGTGCTGTGTGAAAATATGCATTACGCATATATATATATATATATATATGTATATATTGTGGTATTTTTTGTATATCGTGTTGGAGCGAGACCCCTTTGAAATCGAGTCGTGCCCGTTTTTGCTACGGAAATCCACTGGAAGCTTTCGAACGTAGGAGAGCCGCTCAGCGCTGCGGAGCTGAGCAGCGCCCGCGCTTTGGATCCCAAGGCGCGGCAAGCTACGGCAACGCAACTAGGTCCCCCAGTAGTGCCCTTTCTCACCCGAGTTTTTTTGGTTGGGAGGGCTCCCCTACTAAAATAGACCACCGAAAAAAAGGGTTTCCTTATTCTAACCTCTCTACTGGAGGACCTAGTTCTGTTTAGTGGGAAACCCATCGATATCGTAACTACAATAAGTGGATCTAAGTGGAAAACCCGTGGTACCAGCAATACCTGGATCCGTTGAACGGCCAAGTCCCGTTTCCGTTTCGCTTTGGTGTTCCATGCTGGATGACGACAAACCAGAATTTGGACAATTAAGGCAAATTCCACGGTTGCCTATTTAGCATAGTCCGGACACCTGAAGTCTCCAAGACCGTGCTCGGTTTTGGGTATGCCAGAACAGCCCAGGTGCCCCAGCGGTTCAGGGTAGGAAAAGACGGGGAGGCGTGTTTTGAGTGGTGCCATGTTTAGTGGTCGCAAAGTCACTAGTCCAAACGAGATTTTGAGGGCAAATTGGCACATCCCAAAAAAATGGGTCTAGTTGTTGCCGTGCTTTGTTGCTTTGCGTCCATTTCACATGGAATTGTTCACGCTTCCAGACGCATATGCAGTGTAGCCACAGGAACAAAACAAACGCGCACTTTCTGGTCTGCGGCTTGGCTTCCCGTTTGTCTCCGCCAAACAAACTGGCAGTTTGATACATGGGTGTGGCTCAAAATTAAACAGGAGAGGTTACGCAGGTCTTGGTCCATGTTTCCACTCACCCGGGTAACCCGTTTTGGTACCGTCTTTTTGGAGCCACAGCCCCTGCCCCGTGTCAACCTGAGGGCTCCACTGGGCCCAGGGCGCCTCAGGTGAGGCACAATCAAAACCCGGGTGAGAGTAGCAAGGGGCCAGCCATAAATGGTTGCGGATTTCCGCCTTCATAATTACTTACCTGATTCTGGGTAGATTTGAATGCCGGCTGGAATGATATGCTGGGTATGGATCTTTTGAGATCCACCAGAATAGCATCCTTCCATCTAACGTATTCTTTTCTGCTTTTTTGGGTTTTCTTTGTTTTCCACTTGCTGGGGTCCGATTTTGTCCAGCCAAGTTTACATGATTCTGGGATTCCGAGCATTTTAGTGCCGGCTTTTCCCGCAGGTGGCGGTGGAGGGCTACCAGTCCCCGGAGGCCAGCTGCGCGCAGCAGCTGGGCTTCGCCTCGGAGGACCCGGACCTGGAGACCAGGCGAGCCGTTGTTCGATCCGAATCGAAGGTTGGCTGGGAGGGAGGGTTGGGGGGTGGGTGGGGTAAAAAGCAGTCCTTTTGCTCCCGTCCAACGTCACATGTTAGTGGCAAACCGAAAGTTTGGGGATGTGTTCTGTCAGCTGAAAGGACAAATTGTGGGCCCCTTCAGTAGGCATCATATTTACATGGGGCTCAGCTTGCGCCGGTCATCTTTGGGGGGTAAAAAGTGGGGATCCCCTCGAAATGAATCGAGTGGCTCGGCAAAAAGCAGTCCTTTTGGGCAAGGGGCAATACAAGCCAAAAGGCAGACTCACTGCCCAGGTGAATCAACCTTTGGACATTTGCCTATCCCATATCCCGTCAGAGGGGCAGCAAGACTTCCAATCTGTTTGTTTGAACAGTCCTCCAGTCCATTTCCAACCTGACAATCCTAACTAGAAAAGGACAGGTCCCAATAACAGCGAGTGTCAACCAAAACGGCCAAGGCGGTGAAAAGCCATGTCTCCCATCAAATTGAAGGACGCGTCAATGATTGCTTCAGGCAGCCCATTTTCGGATTTCCTTTCTACGTGCGGCATGGACACTCAGAGTCTATTTTCGAAAATTTCGACCCCAAGTGTCCCTCATCTTCTCCCCCCAGTTGGAGCTCATAGATTCCCACACATAGGCGTCCTTCTTGGTTGCTTTGGCAAAAAATTTATGGCGATTCCATTTACTCATCTACCAGGGCCATCGATTTCCCCCAAAAGGACACCTATGTTCCCATCATTCCCCCCCCTCCTCCTTCCAGAGTTGGACCCTAAATTAAATCAGGGCCATCGATTTCCCCCAACAAGGACCCCATACATTCCCAGGTGCTTCAACTTTGTGCTGACCTGGCGCCAAGCCTTCCTGAACGCCGTGCAGCCTCGGCACCTCCCGGCCGGCTGGAATCTGCACCGGAGCATCCGCAAGCATGCGCCTTGCAGTAAAGTAGAGGTCATAGGTGTCCTTTTTGATTGGTTTGCTGAAAAAATAGAGGGGATCCACTGGTTTAGATGGGGTTTATTCAACATTTACCAGGGAAACCCATCTATTTTTCCAAAAGGCCACCTATGGTACTTCCCCAGAATTAGCTCCCCTTTTTTTTTGGGGGGGGGGGGGGGGTCCCCTTTGTCTTCCACTAACCAGGCAAATATATATATATATATACATATATATATATATATGTATGTACATATATATATATATATAGTTGCTGGGGTCCTAGTTCCAGCCAAGTGCTAGAGGTCCTCTTTTTGGCTAGGTCCGCCAGGTTGCTTGCCTTGGGCGTCAATTTGCTGGCTGTTTGGCTTTCTTGCTAGGTGCGCTGCTTGTTCGTGTTTTTGTTGGCTTGGGTGGCTTTTTGGGCCGATTTGGGCGTTTCTAGGCTTTTCTTGGCTTTGTTTGTTGTTGATGCTGTTTTTACTGTCTGTACTTGTCTAGGGTTTTGCTTGAAAACCCGGGTGCAACGCTTCAGGGATGGTGGCTTCATGCTACTCCCCAGATTAGCACGGCACTCTCAAAACCGCCGGATTTAGAGCAAGCTCCTTCTGGGGCGTGATTCTATCAGTTTTCACCGTTCTAGGGGTTGATTCCCCATTCTTTTCAACCATTTCGTCTCAAAACCCAGCTGCCTCCCCAGGGTTTGTGGTGTGTTTTGGAAAGAAGGATCCCTGGAAAGAATGGAAATGGAAGGTTCCCAAAGACGTATGACCTTAAAAAGCACAGCCATATGGGGGTCCCAGGAAGTTTTCACCGTGCTCCTTTCCTATTTTAGACGCACCCCCCGTCTCCGAGCCAGCTGAGGACGACCTCTTTGGCGCTGGTCAAATGGCAAGCGAAGCGGAAACCAAAAAGGGCGGCGGCGGAGACGGCTCAAAGGGGTGTCAGTTCTTCTTTGGTGCATTTTGCTTGGATGTTAGGACTTTAGCCTTTTGCCAACTAATGGGTTTTCCGTTGAAACACTAAAAGTTAAACTTTTAGCAGGGGAGCAGAAAGCAACCGAGTTTTAGGGTACCCCCAAAATGGTGGTTCTCCGGTTTAAGCCACAACACATGGTTTACCCTCAACAGAAGACATACCCAAAAGGTTTGAAGGATGATTCCCGTGCAAGTTCTTCGACCTACTCAATGGTTTTGAACCTGGGGTTCCTAGGCCCGTATCACCTTTCGCGGATCCCATCGATGCAAGCCACGTTAAGTGGACGTTTTCCTTGTAGCTGCTTGAATTCGGGAATCAACCTCTAGACTCAGGTACCCCTTAACAGATGAATTCCTGGTTTGGTGGTTGTTGGTTTAGTAATGTTCCCTCTACAAGAATCAGGGGTTCAAATCCGAATCCGAACCGCTCGCTTCAAACCACCAAAGGGTAAGGTCGAATGACACATCTCTCGCAACATGGGTTGGCCGCGCCTGGCTTTGAGCCTTCAGTTTTTCAATGAGCACTTCAATTGATCCAAATACAGCCTCTAGACTTCACTCCAGACCCAAAGTACACATACCTTGCTTAGCATGGAAACCCCCTCACTAACCTCCCCTGAATAAGGCCTTGGGGCCTAAGTCGGCTAAGGAAGCCGTGGCAAACTCAAGCCCCAAGGCCATCTCAGGCTCAGCTTTGGCGCTACAAACTATGTTTTTTTCTTGTGGGGGAGCGGCTTGCTGAAGTTGCCAAACGGTATTTCAAGAGAAGCCAAAGGGCGGTTGACAAAAAAAGCAAACGGGGAATATATATATATATATATATACATATATATATACATATGATGAAAGCAATCTCGATTTGTGCATCCCTCAGGGCCCCTGGCCTGCTTTGAGCCGACATGGCCATGGGATTGGAAAGTGTCTCGCAGAAATTCCGGCATGAGAAATGTTCTGACCTGCAACCAGTGGTGGTTCTACTTCCTTCCATTGAAGAGGTACCCTTCAAGGCCTAGAGGAACCAGGTAGCTGTTTGCCTTGGCCTTGATAGGGGACCCTCCAGAACCCTCGGCTTCCAGCCACCAAGTTCCACGTCTTAGGTGCCTGGAGTTTCTTAAGAGATTTCTCTTGCTCTGGATGGGCCCATGGATGGACCTGAAATCCGCTCGAGCCAAATGAAACCATGGTTGAAACCAGTTGGTTTGTTGGTATGTACAGAGTCGAATCATAGGAAATCTTGGGTGGTGCGAGATGGATTTCGCAACCATCCACAGTATTACTCCAATTATTTAGCCCCAAGAGTCATCAGACGACCCCCAATGTACTTGGTGGCTCCCAGCCATCCGGTTCCTTAGCTTTTTCGCTTTTTAGGGTTTAGTGGGTGTTTCCATTTAAACCATTAAAAGTTAAACTTTTAGCAGGGGATCTGAGGACAGCCCGGGCGTAGTGTAATTCTTGCGGTGAAAACATCCTTCTCCAGGCCGCCCAGAGCTGCCGGCGTCGCTTTGGACGGTGGCAGGAGCAGCCAGTGGCGGAGGCGGCGTCTTCGGGCGTCGAGCGGGCAAGCCCGCCGAAATACTGACCCGAAAATGGAGATACTGTGGATGGACGAAATCCTGCACCACTTTGAGACCACGGGAAACCATTGTTTGTTGGTATTTACAGGGCAATCATTATCCCAGGGTTTCTTAGGTGGTGCAGGATTTCGTCCATCAACAGTAGGGGTATGGGTCAAAATAAAACCACCAGGGAACCGCAGGTCTTAGTCCATATTTCCACCTACCAGGGCAACCCATTTTCGGCCCCCATTTTTGACCCACAGCCATATGAGTCTTGGTGTCTCTTTCAACCAACCTGGAGAAGGAATCAGCAAGCACAAGCCCGATTAAAAGAAGGCTCCATTGTGCTTTCATTGTCCATGCCTTGTCAAGACGACCAGCCCCCTTTGCAAGCCCAGAAAGTCTGGGGAGAGCCATTTTATGGTATACGATTGTAAGTGGACACCCCAATACCCCCTCACCATTCTGCAGTGAACAGGTTTTCCACTAACCCCCCAAAAAGTTATTCACTTTTTGCAGGGGGGTCAACAGCAACCAAGTAAGGGGCTTGGTGTTTGATTCGTTGGGTGACAAGCTTTTGGGGTCAAAGCCCAGCTTGCGGCTTTTGAGTTTTTGGAATCCGCTCCCAGTGGATCCGATTCACATGAGTTTCCCTGAATCCCGAGTGCGGCTTGCAACTGGGCTTCATGGTCCACCTGGTGGAAATGCTAAAAACTCGGTGACTGCGCTCGGAATCAAGCCTTGTTGCTTGTTGCTTTCAAGTTAGTTTGTCTTTTTTCCCAAGCCGGGTCGAGGTTCATCTGAGATAGGCTCACCCTTGTTTTAGAGATATGGTAGAACGTAGAACATAGTCAAATCCTTAGTAACTGGGGGCAGTCATTTCCTTTGAACGAAATTGGTGACAGGATTCGCCTTTTAGACCCCCTGTTCGCTTGAAAAAAAGCAGAACAAGCTCTGCACGTCCTGCCTTGATTTCGAGGTCAAACGTTGATGACTGAGAAGCAGCGGAAACATATGTAGTGAGATGGCCAAGTTGCTCAGGGGTGTCCACCCCTTTCTCGTTATGGTGGCAAATGGCCCAAGCTACACATGGCCCCAAATGGCGCTTGTCTCATCATTTTCTACGAAAAAGCATGCTTGTTGGCCAACAGCCATTGGTTGCTAGACCTCAGGTTCGGGTGCTTCGAGATTTCCGCCATGTTGGCTGACCTTGCTGTGGAAGCTTCGTCATTTGGCAAGACTAGAAGAGCAGCCGCATGCAGCATACCCCATGTACAAATGGTTGAGTCAGGTGTATGCAGCCCATCATCGGGGCACTTTGGAATTAGTCAGAGTTCCTAGGAACTGCGTGTGCGGGACAAGTGGAGCTGGAACTGGCACGTCTTCGAACATCAGGAAAGGTGCGGATGAATTCGAAGTGCATATATGTTGGTTGTTCCAAGCCTCACCCAAACGGGCTAGAACATTGGGTCCTTTGCTTTTGAATGTTCATCGGTGGCCACCTTTCTACCCTTGCAGGGTCTAGCAAGCCTATGCGCTGTTTGTGGGCCATGAAATGTTTGCTCGGCGATTTGCAGATCCTGACCCTGGACAGTGACCTCTCCTTACTGGAGGAGGCAAGGTGTGTTTTCGGCTGGGAGGAATTCAGCCTCGGCTGAGGTGTCCTTCGTCTACAAGGGGGGGGGATTCAGCGGTCATGCCCCTTTTTTCAAAGGACCCTAAGTGGGTTCCAAGCAATGGGCTACAGCTTGCACCAACTAACATGGAAGAGCAAAAAAGCCCTTTCCAAGAGGAAAGTAGTCCCTCTACAGGAGTTTGTGCACTGCTATGTTAGCTGGTGGGAGGGTACAGCTTGCACCAAATGACAATGATGGGCTACATGGGGTTGATCAAAAGATCCGGTAAGCATGGGATGACCAATGGTTGGAAAACCACTAAAAAGATTTGATATTTAAACCACCAAACGGGAAAGGTTACCCATGGTCATTTGGGGGCCAGGAATATTGATCAACCCCCGCATGTTTTGCTCAAGGCGAAGAAGTCGTGCCAGACCGAAAGGTCAATCATTCATTGCTTACGCAAGCACAATCCTGGGCCCTTGAGAGCTGGCGCCGCGACTGTTCTCTAGAAGAGCGAAGTGCACTTGGCAGTCAGCATTTGGGCATGTTCCGCTCCCATATGGACAAAGACGCATTAGGTTTTTGGTCGGCATCCTGACGACTGGCTGACAGTGCACAATGACGACCTTGTCGGCTTGTTCAATTCAAATCCTCACTGGCTGGATGACATGGCGACACGGCCTCCGCGCTGTCCACAGATCAGCTGGACTGCAGTTGCCACGTCAAGGGAGCTGCGTTTTGGACAACCTTGCTAAGCTGCTTGGGTTCAGGCAACGTATCCTGTGTCTATCGCCAATTCATCTCTTACATTTCTCATTCTTTGTGAGTTGCAGCATGGTGCCTAGATACTTGGCATGACCCCACTTGGTCAGCCCGAGCAGAATTGGCCCTCGCTGGACTTCGCCTTGCCCTTTTGGGTGGTCAAAGTCTCCCAAATCTCCAGTAGGCACTTCCTTGTTGTTGTTTTTGTTTTTGTGCGCAGGCCTTGGAACCCCGTGGAAACCCCCCTGAATTGTGAGTTGGGAGTCCAACAAATGATCAAACCAGAATGCAGATGTGGTTAGGCCCTTTTTGGTGTCCCTTTCCAGCCATGTGTACACGGAAAAAAAAGGGCGCGTGTCGACAAAACGCAGCAACTTGACCTGGGAACTAAATCTCACAATTTCGGTCCATGAAGCTTTGAGATCTCAAAGATGGTCATGAGCCTTCATTCTTGCGTAGACCTCATGTTCTAGAGGCGTCATGGCACCTCAGGGCTGCTTTTGAGTGGATATCCCTCTTGCCAATCCAAGCGTGTTGGGTACCTGTCTCGTCTGATGGGCCGCCAGCTGAATTTTATCAGGTGCACCCGAAATGGTGAGGTGGAGGTACCTTGACCATATCCCGCATCTTAAGCTTCAAGTAGGGAATCCCCGAGTCAGAAAACCAGATGAGTGAAATCTGGCAAACCAAACCAGTGCCTACCCTTGTTACCCCTCATTGAAGTTACCCACAGGTATATACATGGTTCATGGGGCAAACGTGGCCGTCTTGCCCAATATTCGGTTCATGGAAAGAAATGGTGCGGGGGACCTTGTCATGTTGGTACTTCTTAAGGCTGGAATCATAGTTATGATTTTGTTTTGGGGGAAAAGGCTTTGTGCCTTTGGATTCCTCACACGAGATGCTGTCTACCCCAAAACCACTGCAAAACGGCTATGTTTATGTTGTTGTTGTCTTTCTTTTTTCTTGGACAGCAAAATCGACTAGACATTGGATCAGGGGCACTTGCTCAGGCGAGCTTGAGCGTGACACTGCGGGAAGCTCTCAGTGGCCGGCGTCTCGGGACGCGGGACGGCGACGGGTGGCGACCACGTCTTGACATGTCATGGGAATCCTTGACCCCTGTAAAAACAACCCCCCCCAAAAAAAAAGAATGGCAAGGACCCAATTGAGATGAGAATGGCAAGGACCCCATCTAGATGAGAATTCTTAGGAACAAAAACAGGTGTTTTTGTTTGAAGAACAAAAAAGCGCATTTTTTTAATGGTGGTTTGAACCCCAGGGTCACCTTCGAGGGACACTTTGCAACACCCCCATGTCATCTGCTTGCGGCAAATTTCCGGTGACCTGGGTTGGCTGTTCAGGCACCCCAACGTAGGGTCTCAATCCCACAAAGAAGCTCCTAGGTGCTCGTGCCTCTCATAGGGATGCGAATGAGTTGTAAAAGATGAGCCGCTTGGTTTCTATGTTCCAGTGACATACGTGAAACGACGTTTGATGCGTTCCTGTTTAAAGGGAAATGGGCACACTGAATGTGTTCGTTGTTGGTGGCACCTTAACCAAGCTGATAGGACAGAATTTGGTAAAAGCTGTTGGCAGACGGGATCGATTTGGGGAGGATATTCTATGCTCCGCTTGAGGCCCCCGCACGAACGTTGCTTGTCGGCGCAAGTTGGGCCTCTGGCTTTGCGAACTAGCGCCCCACAGCTCGTGTTTGCCTGCGCATTGGCCATGTCGCTTTCCTCCTTCCTCGGCCTGGTTTCAGTTCCGCAGCAAGAGAGAGCGACGCTGGGCTCCTCTTACCCTGAGCCATGCTCACCCAAGGGCTTGCAGCAGCCCGCACAAAATGCAAAGCACATTCCTAGCGACCAATCCACTCCACCCTACCATGTGTCTGTCAACAAGCTACTTATCACCATCCCGTCTGCTTTCCACCGAGAATTCCCAAGCAAGGAAATCTTGGTCGAGTACTACCCCCCAGCATTTTTCTCTCGCCCCCAACACCCCCAATCCTTATTTGACAGTTGGGCCTCTAGGTGTCCTGTTGAGTGGGCGATTTGTTCGACATTGCTCGCTGGTCGTTCCTCTGGTGTCTTCAATGTTGTATTTCGTCAAAGTCAAACGCCTTGCGCTCTTTCCGGCCGCTTAATTCTTCAGTTGGGATCCGCCGATGCGCCGAACTGAGATTTTGAATGGCTGGCCCAGCGCTTTCAGGGCTTAATTTCAATGATTCAGTAGGTAGTCAAAGGGACCCAGTAATTAACATCCAGCTGCTGAAGGTGATTGTGCTAGGTGCCCCTTGTTTCGTATCAATTTGCTTGCCCCATTGAATGCGCCTCGTCACTGGGAAATATGTTACATGTGTGGCGCTCACTTTTAACGCAAGCCGAGATGTGTATTCTACCTGGCCTAAAAGTGGGTCAAGGGCAAGTGTCGCTTTGCTAGGCCTATTTGCTTGGTAGTAGGATCCCTGGACAGTGAGAAGCAATGGGTCCGCTACCTGCCAACCCGCCATAGCCCCCGGGGCTTAAAAAAAAGCTTGGGAAGATCTTTGGTCCTGGGTAATCTCCAGGGTTCCAATGCTCCAAATTGAAGCCCAACACCCTTTTTGCCAATCATGGAAGCGCTGATCCTTTTCAGGCGTGTTTGAAGCAGGATAGCTTTCCTATGGGTCCCGAAAGAATGATACTCGTTTCACTGTCCTTCTGGTTTCCTTTAAGGCCGTTCAAGACGGGGTCTTGTTTTTTCACATAAGGAAAACACATGCCCATATGACCCTGCAAAAAGTGGTTTCCCCACCCATCCCCCAAATATAAAAATGTAGGCCCCTCTCAAAGAAGACAATTGCAGATTCCCCTCCCAAGAAAACACACAAGCACGTTTTGGTGAATCTCACTTGTCACCGTTCAACGGAGTACCCGTACCAGGGTTTCGCTTAACTTAACACCCAGAGGTCCAGTACAACAAATCCCAGGTTTTGTCCCATCCAAGGGCTGTAGTAGGGTCATCGAAGTCATGATTGTTTAGATCGTTCAAGGATGCAACCAAAGAATCGTGTCTCCACAGAGAGCTGAAGAAACACAAATGGCGGTTTCCACAGTTTGCATCAACCGCATGCGCAGTATGGTGGCTTAAAACCGAGCGTGTGCTGAGTCACTTACTTGGACGGTGTTATCTTGGTTTAACGGGCCCCAAACCAGTAACCCTTGATTCTATAGGTTATCAGCCGTAGGCCCCTAGCTATACAGCTATGGCTATGTTACCGCTGGATGTGACTGGCATGCTGGTAGATGGTGCCGGGAGCAACCAGAATAACGCCAGGCAGCGGCGCACGCACGCTGAATGCGCAGAATCGCATGCTAATGAATTCCCCACAGTTGTAGAACACCGCCATTTTTGCGTTCGGCATTGATGCAGCTATTAGGTCTGAAGCCGACGAGTTGCACCAAGCAGATGTGGACCCCTCTGCAAGCGGAAAACCGAGGAACTCCGTGCCGCACAACACCATTTGCACGCACGTTACGCTGAGTGTGCGCATGCCCAATCTCAAGGCATTCGTGAATACGAAGCGCATGTCAGCTCGGAGTTCCAATCCGCGGTGCAGATGGCTGAAGCTAGGATTAGCCATCTGTGTGTGTGAGAGAAGGACCAGGCAGCTTATGATGCGGAGTTGAATCGATGTGGTAAGTTTAGTGTGCCATTGAACAGAACCTTGCCGAAGCTCAGGGCCTTCTGGTGGAGCAAGCTGAGAAGCATGCTGATGACTTGGCCAAAGTGTGGGCTGACCATTCAAGAAAAGTTGATCAGATGGTTGCCCAGAATTTCAGCGTGTAAGAGGAGCTCGATGACCGCCAAGCTTGCAGGCAATTTGACCTCCACGAGGAAAAGCCGAAGCCTGGTGATACCCGCGAGGGTTCAGCTGAGCTGATGACTGAGGACATGAAATCTGCCCGGCCAGACAAGTGCCCCAGTGCCACCTTGTGCATTTTCTCAAGATGTATGGCGAAGACCCGTCTGATGGGGATGCCGATTCGTGATCGCCTCGCGCATTGTTCCTCTCATGGACACAAGACCGTTCCATCCCAGCACCTGCTAAGGCGTGCCCTGAAACATGATCCATGTGGCATGACTGACACACGCAACGAATCTTCCAAGCAGCCAAGGTTGCCGGATTATTTTCTTGGCTGTGAGGATTTGCTGGGCTAGATCACCTTTAGCAAAGCGCGTGAGCGCTGCGAGAATCTTCGTGTCCAGCGGTGCAAATTTGGGTCAAGAACCATTTGCGAAGATGCTCGTGAAGTACATCAAGGGACACAACAATGATGAGAAGCCCAAGTCCAGCGAAAGCGAGACTTTGCGTTTGAGGGAGATGCCCGCGCCAGAACATATCGCGAATGGAAGACCTCCGGGAGGACATCCGTGCCGCCTCTGACAGGCCTGACGCAGCTTGGCCCTGGATCATGGAGGTTTGGTCGGATCGCGAAGACAAGAAGGAAATGCTTGAGGAGCTTGGTGATCCAGGCAAGTTCGTGAAAGCCAGACAGAACGCTTCGCAGTGGGTTCTGTTGAGTTTGCCGCAAAGGCTGCATACAAGTTCTCACCCGCACGAGCGTTGGCCAAGGGCGAAGTGGCCGGGGTCCAGCACAAACACTTGGCAGGGCTGGTGGAACAGCTGGCAGGGTTGTGGTGAAACCGTACCCGTCATGGGTTTGTATGTGTCATGCTAGTTTTTCGATGCCTGTTTCCCCTTTTGAGTGTTTCTGTTAGGCTGCTTTGTGAAAGGCCCCTTTTGCCACCCTTATGCGCAGTATGCTGGCTCAAAACGGAGCGTGCGCTGAGTCACTTACTTGGACGGTTTACCTTGGCTTAAGGGGCCCCAAACCGGCAACCCCTGATTCTAGAAAAACGAAGGTGAACCGGGTGGAAATTCAAGCCATTTCTCGGCTTTTGAAATGAAAACATGGCGTCCAGAACTGTGGAAGTTTCGTCCGAAATCCTCGAGGTAAGAACCTGAGCATCCGCGGCGCCTTCGCGCCAGACTCAGAGCGCAACCGGAAGTCTGGAGCGGAGCAAGGCGTCGCCTCCAGGGATGCATAAGTGTTTCTTGATTGTTGCTGTGTTGTTACTTCTGTTTCTGTGTTTGTTAAAGGGAGCCTGTTGAGAGAACAACTGCCGAAGAAGCTGCCCTTTGTTCTATGGCAGCTGAAGCGTGGGTTGCAAAGAGCTCCGTTGTGGGGCCCAGTGCTTCCACAGTTGATACCCAAGGGAAATGAGCGATGTGTGCTTGGTCCCGCCAAAGTGTGTGAAGTCACAGCAAAAGTCAGAGGCCACACCGAAAGACCCCTCCTTATTTGGTCCCGCCAAGGCTCGAGCACAGTTAGGCAAGTATTTGGTGATTTGCAAGGTCACTCAAAGGCCTTCCATTCGTTGAAGTGCCCTGAAAAAATACAACACTTCACTCAAACAAAGGAAGCTGAGTCTGGACACTTTGGGCAGAATGGGAGTCTAATGGAATTGGGTTGAAAGCCTGAAACACGGGATTTGGTTGCCTTCTTAGGCATTGCCCAGAACCAGGTCGAATTGTTCAGTCAATTTCGCCATAGGACTAAAATAATCAGTGGGATGTTCGTGTTTGTGGCATGTTTTGGAGATGCATATATGTTTATATATGCGTATTATATATATATATGAAGACTTCGGATAAAGGGTGCCTCTTCCACACCACGGTGACATTTTAACGGATATGTGTTGGTAACGGCGGCCAGAGAGCGGCAGAGGCACCCCTGGAGTTCCATTTCTAGTTCCATTCTCCATTTTGTCAGGACTCGAAAATGAAGTTGGGCCCCCATCCCCTTCCTCTTCAAAGTGGGGGAGCAAACGGGCCAATGTCGAATGAAAAGGTTGCTTCCGGGGAAAAAACACTTGTCTTTCCATTAATGGCCATAGGCAGGTGTAGTGGCTCCAAGGCTCCCCATGCTGAAATGGGAACCGGCAAATTGGGTGGTTCCCCTTTGACTGCCCTACTGAACAAATAAAGGCACCTCCCTCCCCCCATATCAGGGATCCATGGTGCTGGTTGTGTGAAGAGAAGGGTCCCTGAAGAAACAAATCGGAAAGGGAGATACGCGAAGCGCACGCTCGCGCTTAGGACATCTTCGATTCAGACAAGAACGGCTCATTGGCCTTGCGCTCAGAGTTCGGGGTGAGTCGGATTCCGCCTACCTCCTGCAAGCGCCACTTTGCTCACTTGCCCAAAGCTGACCTTTTGACCTTTGGGTTTCTGAGTGGTCAGATACTTGTTGGTCCATTTTCCGCTAGAGAATGGTTGGTCTATTTCCTACAGAGAAACCAAAAGGGTACATGGGTAGTTGATTGTTTGTCCCAGACTTGTTCGGCACCTTGGTGGTTGAGCTCTCGACACGGCCTCTCTTTAGCTTGTGAAGTGAGCCTGGGGTGAGCCTGCTGAACCCAAACCGAGAGTTCACTGTAAGTATTGACCAACTAGGTCCCCCAGTAGTGCCCTTTTACCAACTTTTTGGTTGGGAGGGTTCCCCTACTAAAATAGACAAAACCGAAAAAGGGCACCCTTATTCCAAGCTCTCTGCTGGAGGACCTAGTCAGACAGCCCCTTTTCCCAAGTGGTGGCCCGTGTTCAAAGACGAATCCCCGAGAATTTTTGGCCGCACGGCTAGTCCGATGTCAAGCGGCACGAGTCTCGGGCCCACGGACATGTCGGGGATTCCAGGGTCAAAAAGCCAGGGTTGCTGTGAGCCTTTGGAAGATGATCAACACACAAGGGTCAAACAGGGCTCCTTAAAGATACATTTTGCCCATTTGAAACATAGCTGTGTCCACGAAAAATAAAGGGACACCACCATTTACAAGGCAATGTTCAGGTGTATAATGTAAGGATCTCTGCAAAACTTGGTCCAGACCATTTTTGTTTGCCCAGAGTTGATGTTAGAAACCCTGGCGCACCCCCTCAGTGGGCGTGAGGGAAGTTGCTTTTTGGTCTAAACACCAGTTTTGCCTCTCTTCAGGCCAAGCCGCTGGGGAAGCGAGTCATTTGTTGGGTTTGGTCCATTTTGATGGTCAGCAAGAAGGTGTTGTTGCGTTCTTTGGCCAATCCACTGGGGATTCCCAATTTGTTTCAACTATCCTTATTTTCGATATATAAAACAGTTGTATGCCCTGGTTGATGGTTTCCTGGGAAGAAGGATTCCTGGAAAGCCATGGAAAAGTAACTAGGTCCCCCAGTAGTGCCCTTTCTCACCCCTTGTTTGGAGAGGCTTGCCCTACTAAAATAGACAAACCCCCGAAAAAAGAAACGATTCGAACCTCTCTACCGGAGGACCTGGTCTGATTCCTTGCCTTCTTCGCCTTTTATTTGGTTTGGTTCCCCCCTTTGGTTTGGTCACTCAAAACAAGCCCAAAGCCGTGGACATGGAAGCCTCCCCCCCCATCAAGCAAGAACCTCAAGCGAAGCGAGGACATGGTGGAGACCTGGTCCGCCCTCTACCACTTGGGCCTTCGAGGCATCTCCGCGGCCCAGGCGCGGCGCTCGTCTTTGGAAGGAGAAACCGAAAGGAAAGCCCGGGGGAAAACACGGGAAGGCTGGTGGGGTGGTTTTAAAGGGAACCTCCTGTTTTAGGGGACCACCTCATTTATGAGGAGCGAAAAGGAAAACAAACACACACTACTGTTGGGGGGGTCCAAAAAGAGACAGACCAAATAAGCCTGAACTATTGCTTGAACATATTGCTTTTGGGTCTAGCGGTTTGGGTGAAATCTGGGTGAAAGGGAAGCCAAAAGAAGCCAACCTCTCTCCCTGAAGCTATTTTGGCATACCCTCGGTTCACGTTGTTTTGGGGACCCTGCAAGAAACGCCCCTAAGAAGAGCGTGCGAGTTCCATCAATGTTCATTATTACTGGCAAGTCTCACGAGCGCCCCTTGCCCGTGCCCTTTATGCATTGCCGCATTGAGCTGATGGTTTGAGAGCTATTAGCGGACCAAAATGGAACCCGAAAACGATCTCAAATTTCATATCTTATTTGCGCACAGGCCCATATCCACCAGCTACAACCGTATCTCTGCAGTGCTGTTTCAGGGACGTTACAATCTACTCTTTGTGACCCAGGCCAAAGGCTTGACAACATCCTTCACCCCGAGATTCTAGGGCGCTCAAAATAGACAAAACAGGTTTTGAAGGCGCCAACACATTAGGAGTGTTATGGTGATTCTTGTGGTGATGTGAGCACCACGTTTCACTGTGTCTTTGCTTGCTTTGTCGAAATCTGATCTTATGTCGGCTCTGTTTTCAGGTTTCGGTTCAAACACGTTTTCCGCGTTTTCAGGGTGTCCCGAGGGTTTTTCTTTGGCCCCCGGATCCCGGGCACCAAGCAACCCACCTCCAAAACCCAAGCAACCCGCCCCTTTCGCTCGCCAGAAAGCGCTCAATCATGGTTGTTGTTGGGACACATTTTACATTTTTGCTTGTTGTGGTTTAGTGGGAAATCCCCAGTGAACTGCTAAAATATCTAGATTTTTGCTCCCCTTCCAACGTGAACCAAGCAATCGCTGGTTCCGATCGCGGCGATCGCGAAAGCGAATCGCCAGGTGGTGCGGTTCTTCGATCTGATGGACGAGGCCAAGGTGGGCCGCGTGGGCTTCCGGGAGTTCCACAACTTCGTGGAGGCAGCCATCGAGGCGGGCAGCGATCAGCTCTCTCGGGTGGGGGGGGGAGAGGGCCGCCCCCGAATCCTGGCGAGCGGTGCGAAATCGGTAGGGAAGGAGAAACGGAAGGAAGCCAGTTGCATTGGTTTTCGAATGAAGGAAACCACCAGTTGGAGGGTTTATCTCGGGGTCATGAGCCATATATCTCATTCCCTGCATCAAACTCGCACTCGCAAGCCTTTGCTGAGCTTCTCCAGCACGCAACCCAGAGGCCTTTGGGCGACTTGGTGCTTGGGTCTTTAAATTTCAACTCCACTGGAACAACTGGTCGGAGAGTCTCAGAGTCCGGAGACCCACAAAATGCGAACAACGCTTTGCAGGGTGTCGTCTTTAAAGACGATACAATTTTGTGGTGGTGCTTGAGTCGCTACTCCCTCGAAGAAAAATTGGCGAAGCCTGGAGCCCACGGGAGAAGCATGGCCGGCCAATGGGTTTCTTTCAATTTTGTTTATCGCGGAGGGTCCGGTCTGGCGTATGGCAACCTGTCTCACCCAAGAATGAAACCTTAGGTTTCTGGGGATGTGGGGCAGCGGTCGCATTTGAGGAATCAGCCCCTACAAATTGTATGAATGGGCGTAAACCAGTGCGCTTCCAAAGTGTGGGGGGTAAGTGATTCATTGCAGACATGTGACAAGTTGATCCTGGCGCGCCATATTACGGTGTTTCAATGATACCTTAAATCCCCTTTGGCCGAAATATAGCGAGCTCACCGAAAAAGGGGGGGAGTGGACAGCTCACCCATCTCCCTTCCTTTGAATCATGCTTGTTGTTGAGAAACATTTTACATTTCTGCTTATTGTGGTTTAGTGGTTGAAATCCAAATCCACTTAACTGCTAAAATATTTAGATGTCTGCTCCCCTTCCAACGTCAACCAAGGAATAGCACTTGATACTTTGCTCAGGAGAAGACGCATCATCTCCCAGCGCTCTCTCGGGTGGTGTCCGAGGCGCCCTCGTTGGAAAGCCGATGTCCACCAGTGGGTGGATTAAAGGGTTGCTACTCATTCGGAGCAACCCTGTTCACCATACCTGCGCAGCCTGCGAGGGATCCTGATCCATCCAACAACAAAAACGACAATGCCCCCCCCAGGTACCGTTTGTTCCAACTCATTGTCCTTTTTGGGGGGTTTGAAGCATCACTTTCTGGGCAAATGTTCAAACAGTACTTGTTCAAAACAAACGGGGTAATTGATTGCAGCTCACGCGACAGCATTGCAAACTGTCTGCGCACTTGGCAGGCAATTGTTGGGAGGCTACCTGCGGTAAGGAATTACGTAAGCGCTTTAGAATATTGGGTTTTTTGCGAATCAAACGGAAGACAACCCTTAGTGGAAATATGGGCGTTAGGGAGAAGGGTCGGAATCCCGTTCCGCTCACAGTAATCATCAGATGGGAAGCTACCAACTAGTTCTAAATTCTCACCGGGTTTTGTTTAAACTCTATCTTAAGGTTATGGGCCCCGGTGCTTAAGCCATTATCTTCAGCTATTGTGGGCCAGTGATTCAGTCGTTAGAAGGTTTCCGGTGTGTTCGGCAACTTGTTGGGCAACAAACCGGTTCCTTTGCAAGCCCCCAATTCGGGAGCCAACGGAAGGCGGTTTGGCAGGGTTACACAAAGCAGGTGTTTTTGTTTTTTGGTGGGCCATGTTGAAACCTTTGTAACCAGCTCTTCGAAAACACACACACACACACACCCAGCCTTGAATTGACAACAAGCCCTGTGCAACAACTGGTTCTTTGAACTCTGCGATGAAACTGCTGTCTGATGCTCCCAGTGGATCTCAGACGCAATAGGTCACGAGCTGGGTTGTGCCACTTTGTGTTTGAAGGGGTTTCCCTTAGTTCCAGTGCCTTGCCTGGCAGCATTGCCCAATTTGGAGACGCCGATTTTGGAGATTTGCCTGTGGGTCAAAACCAATGGGATCCAATTTTGGGGTAGGTGCAACACCCATTTTAGTCGATAGTGGGGATTGGGATGTTCACTGGGGGTACGATTTGGATTTTGGCCATACCTCAACAATTTGTGGACCCCCAAAATCGCTACTGTCGGCTTTTCTGTTGGTTTCCCTTTAAACCAACCCTAAAACCGGGTGACTGGATTTCCCCTTTTGTTGCAATGTGTTGGTTCCAAAGATTTGGCCCATCCATCACCTTGGCACTTGGAGTCCCAGCCACCCGCCACCCAGGGTGAACGGAACGGGGAACCCTCCAGGAGCCCGAGCTGGCGCACGCGCCGCCGGCGCTGCGGCGCAGGGCTGCCCAGCCTTTGGGGTCAAATCTTCTGATTTGGTCATGGGGCGACTAACCTATGCCGATCCCATTTGGCCATGGGTCAAAATCCCAATCCCCACTAAAATAGGTTCTAAAATGGGTGGTGAATTCCACCTACCCCAACATGGTACCATTGGTTTTGACCCACAGCCATTTTGGGGTGGAACACCCATGTACCACCGATTTTGATGACCAGGGGTACAGGGTTTTGACCCACTGCTGATTTGGGGTGTCTTTTGGTGCGATTTTGGTTGTGGCTGGAGCTTTGGACTTTTAACCCTTTTTGGTTGAACCATTGCTCGGAATATACGTTTTCCCCGTAGGGGACTCACAAGTTGAAACGTTGTTGTTTTGTTTTTTGCGCAGGGTCTCGCCAGCAACCAAGCTCTCGCTTGCTGCCATTTGCAATGGAACGCTTCGTGAAGCTTGGCAAGCTTCGAACTTTGGCTGACTTCATTGTAAAGGCCCAAGGAGTGTGGTTAGTGGTTGTGCGTTAAAAAAAAAAAACACTTGAGAGGTTCAGAGTGAATTAACGCAAAACCACTAACCACTGACCGGAGCCGTCAATGTGCTCTCCCTGTTGTTGGAGCGTCCAACCAGTATTATCATCTTGACCCAGACGGGGTTGCGGAAGAAAGGGAAGGGTGCTTCACCCAGACCTCCATCAGGTGTGGCATGTTTCTCTGAGGAGGTTCTCCCCAACATTGTTTGGCGCAATCTTTTGGAAGACAATGGGAAAGTGTGAAAGCGAAACCAAAGAGACACCACGTAAACATCACGGCATCACAGAAGTTCTATGCCCCCCCCCATTTTGCGGTAAATGGCTGGTTCCCGTACTTGGAGGGCAGCTGGGGGTGAACTGGGAGGTGGGAAACTCAAGTACACCCTTCAGATCATAACGAAACCTAATTAAAACGGGGGTCACTCAGAAGGTCCCTACCATGTCTTGGCGGGTTCCTTGTTAATCTGGGGTGTACGTCTCAAAGTTTGGCACTTCTGAAAAATAGGGAGACTCTGTTGTTCCCCTCAGAAGCTACCAAGCGAACCCTCAACACATTCTGGGGTGCTTACATGGCATTTCTAAGCCTGGCAAGTGAACTGGGGAACTACTTCGCTATCTTCTGGACCATCCAGACAGCAAAACGACAATATCCTCCAAACTCAATGGGTCTGCGCAAATTCGGGCATCGCTGGGGGTCAACTGATCTCCCCTGGGTCCAAACTAGGCATCCCAGCACCAAGGACCAAGAATAGGAGAGGGCCTTCGTCCACAAAGGGCGTTTTGGCCGGCCGGAGTGTGGCGGTGGGTCTCTGTTTTTCGTGCTTGGCTCTGGGTGGTGGCCCTTTGACGATGGAAGTGCAGAGAGCGGGTTCATTCCATCGCTCTTCGGGCACTTCGAGAGGCAGCTGGCAGCTGGCAGCTGGAGTAAGATCTTCGGGTCTCGGACTCCTGGAGTGCGGTGTCTGCTCTTCGGCGCGTTGCGAACCCTTCTTGCCGTTGGTCGCTGTTGGTCCATTCGTCCCGGCCGCAAGGTGGCGGGCGAGGTGTGTGTGCAACTTCTGGACCTTGGTGTCCTGTGCCTTGGGTTGTCTGCTGCTAGCTACATCCAGACCGCGTATATTCGCATTTTGGGACCTTCAATGCGCTTTGTGGTGCGTGTTGTCTTGTTATTCTTTGTGGAGACCCCTTCATGCGCTCACACCTTCACTCGAGAGGAAAAGCCCTTAGCTTGCGCTCTGGCTTCGTACCGCCGCATGCTTCCTGGACTTCATTGTGACCGATTTGGCGGGTTTGCAGTTGTGGCTTCACGTTGATTCATTGTCCAGGTGGAT